AATCCATGGAACATTCCTCAATACAATAAAGGCTGTATATGACAAACCTACAGCCAGCATTCTACTCAATGGTGAAAAACTAAAGCCATTTCCTCTTAACTCAGGAACAAGACAAGGATGCCCACTCTCTCCACTTCTCTTCAATCTAGTATAAGAATGCCTAGCTACAGCAATAAGACAAGATGCAGACATAAAGGGGATCCAAATAGGGAAAGAAGAAATAAAACTCTCCCTCTTTGCAGATGACATGATCTTGTATTTAAAGAATCCAATAGACCCCACTCCCAAATTACTCAAGCTGATTCAAAACTTTGGCAAAGTAGCAGGTTATAAAATTAACCCCCCAAAATCAATGGCTTTTCTGTATGCCAACAATGAGAAAAGTGGGGCTGAAATTAGGAAAGCAACTACATTTGTAATAGCCCCACAAAAAATAAAATACCTAGGAATTAACTTAACTAAAGAAGTGAAGGACCTCTATGAGGAAAACTTTAAAATCTTGAAAAAGGAAATCAACACAGAACTTAAAAAATGGCAAAATCTCCCATGCTCCTGGATTGGAAAGATTAACATCGTGAAAATGGCAATACTTCCCAAGGCTATCTACAAATTCAACGCAATACCTATCAAAATTCCACCCTCATTCTTCAAGGAAATAGAAGAGGCAATCCAAAAATTCATATGGAACAATAAAAGACCCCGAATAGCAAAAACGCTCCTCAACGGAAAGAACACTGCTGGAGGAATATCAATACCAAATTTCAAACTCTACTATAAAGCCATAGTAATCAAAACAGCTTGGTATTGGCATAAGAACAGACCTCAGGACCAATGGAATAGAATTGAAAATCCAGAAATGAACCTACAGACCTATAGCCATCTAATCTTTGATAAGGGAGCTAAAACAATAGAATGGAAGACAGACAGCCTCTTCAGTAAATGGTGCTGGCAAAACTGGCTAACTACATGTAGAAAACTAAAGCTAGATCCTTATATATCACCCTGCACCAGAATCAACTCCAAATGGATCAAAGACCTCAAAGCAGACACTCTGAAAACATTACAGGATGGAATAGGAGAAACCCTGGGTCTCCTTGGCTCAGGCCGAAATTTTCTGAATAGAGACCAGGAAACAAAACAAATCAAAGAAAGGTTGGACAAATGGGATTGTAGAAGGTTGCAGAGCTTCTGCAGGGCAAATGACATAGCTAGCAAGATCAATAGAAAGCCCACGGATTGGGAGAAGATCTTTACTAGCCATACAACGGACAAGGGTCTCATATTTAAAATATACTTGGAACTCAAAAAATTAAAGCACCCAACAACAAATCCTCAAAGAAACAACTGCCCAATAAGTAAGTGGGCGAAAGACTTAAAGAGAAGCTTCTCTGAAGAAGAAAGAAGGATGGCCAATAGACACATGAAGAAATGTTCAGCATCCCTAGCCATAAAAGAAATGCAAATCAAAACAACATTGAGATATCACCTCACTCCAGTTAGAACAGCAAAAATCAAGAACTCTAACAACAACAGATGCTGGAGGGGATGTGGACAGAAAGGAACCTTACTTCATTGTTGGTGGGAATGTAAACTTGTTCAACCACTTTGGAAAGCAGTATGGAGGTTCCTCAAAAGACTCCACATAGAGCTCCCCAATGACCCAGCAATCCCACTTTTGGGCATTTACCCAAATGATCACAAACAAGGCCACACTAAAGCTACCAGCACAACTATGTTTATTGCAGCATTATTTACCATAGCTAAGATATGGAACCAACCCAGATGCCCCTCAGTAGATGAATGGATCAAGAAGATGTGGTATGTATACACAATGGAATTCTATGCCTCCATCAGAAAGAATGACATTTCCCCATTTGTTAGGAAATGGAAAGGCTTGGAAAAAATTATATTAAGTAAAGTAAGCCAGGCCCAAAGAAACATAGGTCCCATGGTTTCCCTTATTTGCAATATCTAGTATAGGTATGAGTCAAGCGGAAAAAGTCAGAGAATGTGATGTTAGGAAAACGAACCTCAAATATGTATTTTAATGTTTTTGTTTCTTTCATGCATGTGTTTCTAACGCATTTATAAGATTATTTCTTTGTTGCTTTGTATGTCCCTCCCCCACAGTGTAACCCCCGCTTTCACTATATTTGATGTCAGTATAACATGTGGAGGAGACGGGGACTAACAAGTCGTTTAAGGATTCAGGTGGACCTGTTGCAACAATGAGAAGTACAAAATGTCATGTCAAAACCAGATTTACAATGTCGGTGGGGGGGGAAGTGGGGGTATGATTGGGTGGGGGGGAGGGGGGAGGCTGGGAAGGGAGGTGAAGGGTAAACAAAGGAGGAGGCTGCAATGCTTGGTAAGAAATGTATGCATTATCCTGCCCATGTAATTGTAACCCCTCTGTACAGTATGTTCTCAAATAAAATAAAAGAAAATTAAAAAAAAAAAAAAGAAAAATGAACTTCACAACTTTGGCACAGGGCGAGGAGCGGGGAGGATTGGGATGGTAGGGGAGATGGGAAGGGATGGTAGGGTAAGCAAAGCAGGAGGTAACAATGCTTGATAAGAAATGTACTCATTATCTTGCCCATGTAATTGTAAACCCTCTCTTTGATTTTTTCACAATTTAAAAAAACAAAACAACTAGCTCAGCATGAACCACTGGTTCTCCCCATTTGTTCCATGTCATGCCTGAATAGTTACAGATTTTCCTTTACCACTTAAGCCCTCCACATGCCCTGGCACCTATGTTTATTTGAGGCTGGATTACTTCACTTAAATATAATTTTTTCCAAGACTTTCCATTTCCTAACAAGTGGGGCAATGACATTCTTTCTGATGGAGGCATAGAATTTCATTGTATATATGTATCACATTTTCTTTTTTGGGGGGGTATGGTCATGGGGCCTGAACTCTGGGCCTGGGTGCTGTCCCTCAGCACTTCAGATCAAGGCTAGCTCTCTAGCACTTGAGCCACAGCACCACTTCTGGCTTTTTTCTTTTCAGAACAGTGAAGGAGGTTGGCATATCTTTTAGGGAAGCTTATAAATCATCATCAAAATTGGTTAAAAAAAGAGCATTGTAGAAGAATTATGTGAGCATGTGGTGCAGAGAACATTAATATTTTAAAAGATGAAGGTCATCAAATCAAGACTCAGATGAAGTTCTGGTAGGAAATGGTACTGAAGAATACACTGATTGGGTAATGAGTTACTCCTGGTCCGTTGGTTTTGAAAGAGCAGTGTTATCTTTACACATCATCTTCTCGGACTGCCAGTGTTAAATACCATGTGATCACCCTGTTCCTATAACTCTGGTATGATTGTGTAGATTGTAGATTGTCAAATCTACACAATGGGATGAAGTATGTCCACATGCTAATCTCTATGTGGAGACCTTCTTCATTTCACTTTTGCATCACTGTTTGTGAATCCCCAGGTTGAAGATGTTCTTTGCTAACTGAGTGGCTCCAGTTTCTCAACTCTACCCTTGACCTCATTGCAATTTACCATTTCTGTAACTATATGAATCACATCTCCCAAATACAACTTGTGAAAATTGCTTTATTTGTGGTCATGCATATAATACTAGCTACAGAGGAGGCTGAGATCTGACGATTAGAGTTGGAGGTCACCTTGGACATAAAGACAATGAGTCTCTGTCACCAGTTAAACACCAAAAGGTTGGATGTGAAGCTGTGACTCATTTGGCACACTATCACACTAGAGCACAAAAGCTCAGGGACTAAGTCAAGCCCCAGGCCTAGTACACAAAAAACTGCTTCACTTAAGATCTAAAAGACATGCAACTTGAAGGACTATGCAGCTTAAGAAGCATAATGAAGTTAAAGTAGAGTTGAGTCCTCGGGCTAGAGAACAACTCAGCTTCTGAGAAGGAATAGTGTCCATTAATAGATGAAACAAATGTCCTCTGAAAGTGCACATACATGCATAATAACCACAAAGCTAGATATGATTCCAGGTATTTTCCTAAAACTAAAGAAGAAATACCTGAGGTGAACTGTTCTAGAGGGAGGCGATAGGGAAGAACATTCAGAAGGGAAGCAATCCAGTCATTTATATGAGTTCACAGGACACCAATGAATGCACCAATGGATTGTCCATATACCTCTGATCATGACACTTTATTGCACATATTTCAGTGCTACCTTCCATTAAAAACTTTGAAAACTGTTCATTTCTCTCTTTCTATCAATACATCTATCTGTCTTTCTACCTACGTATGTATTATCACTTTTATAACATATGTCTGTGTACTAATGTTTATTATTAAACCATATAACAAGGTTCAGGCAAACAACCTGAATACTCTTAAGAATTCTGTGTCACAAACTCCACTGATACCAGAGTTAGGAACATTTTAAAATTAATTTCCTTTGGAAATGTTTGTCTTTGAGTGACTGATTTAAGTGAAGAAAATCATACCAAGTCATGTATAAGTTGAAAATGTTAAAAATTCTATTTGGGGTTGGGAATTGAGCTCAGTGGAAGAGTGCTTACCTGCAAAGTTCAGTTCAGTCCTCAGCTCTGGGGAAAAAAATCTATTCTTATCACAGGCCAACAGAATCATAATGTTTTCTTGTCTCTCGAAACACATTTTCCACAAGCACATTGGACATCTGGGTTCTTCAGGTCTGTGTTTTCTCATTGAGATCTGCCAGCTGAAGCTCTGACTCGCACTGCCCAAACCATGTTGATTTGCATGTACCCAGAGCACAGCCCACTACACTGGGAACTTCTTCATAGGCTGCTCACACTCTATGCAAGAGAAGTTCCAGTCAGCACACAGCATGGACATGAGGGCCCTTGCTCAGCTCCTGGGGCCTCTGCTGCTCTGGGTTGCAGGTAAGGAAAGATGATACTGGGGATTATTCACCCAGTGTTCAGCTGAGCCACTTGGCTGTTCATGGAATAGTTGGACAGCAGAATTAATTAAACTGCTAATGGCTTTTATGTTTCCAATGTCAGGTGCCAGATGTGACATCCAGTTGACCCAGCCACCTTCCCTGTCATCACCTCTGGGAGACAGAGTCACCATCACTTGCCGAGCCAGTGAGGGCATTAGCAATAGTTTACATTGGTACCAGCAGAGAGCAGGGAAAGCTCCAAAGCTTCTGATCAGTTATGCAACTACTTTGCAATCTGGGTTCCCACCAAGGTTCAGTGGCAGTGGATCTGGGACAGAGTTCACTCTCGCCATCAGCAGCCTGCAGCCTGAAGATGAGGCAATATATTACTGTCAACAGGGTTATAGTTTAGCACCCACAGTAACACAAGTCATAACAAAAACCTCCCAGAGAAACAGAAGTGAGAGCCTGGGCTGCCCCAGCTTCTCTTCTACCTGCACAACTGCCTCTACTCTACACAACTTCTCAGACAGACGCAAACTTTAAAGTTACTGGAAAGTATTGGTAGAGAGGTCATGGAGGCATTTGCACACCCTAACTCTCTGTCCTCCTGTGCATCCTAAGCAGCACACAGCTAAGAATGCCTCTTCTGACTTACAATTTGCAGCCACAAAAAGAAAGAGACATTTTAGGAATATCAAACCAGGTTTTAAAAGCAAGGTAATAGAGCTTTAGAAAAGATTTTGTTTTTAGATTATAAAAAAATCATCATTAATTATTGAAACATAAAGCAGATTTCTTGATTAAAATGGAAAATTTCTAGTTCATTGAGTGACACATACATTAGTTATCATATCTATATCTGTATCTATATATACAGATATATATGTGCTATGTGTATATATATATATATATATATATATATATATATATATATATATATATATATAAAACACCCAGTAGCAATACATAAAATAGCAAGTTTATGCAATCCCTGTAACAGCCATGGTCTGATTTGTAACATATTTTATTCAGCTGCTAAGGGCTCTCAGAATACAGAGCAGAGCATAACTTCTGAGACCCCACTCACCTGAGCCTACAGCCCACAAAGCTCTGCCCTTGCAGGCTTTTGTTGGTTGCTCTACTCAAGAAGCAGTTCTTTTTTGTTTTGTTTTGTTTTTGGTTGGTCCTGGGGCTTGAACTCTGGTCCTGGGTGCTGTCCCTCAGCTCTTCAGCTCAAGGCGAGCACTCTACCACTTGAGCAATAATGCCACTTCCAGTTTTTAACTCAGTTTTAGATATAGAAAATTCTAGATGAAATAGTCTCATCTGCTTCTACTCAGGTGAGGCCTTTTCTGTATGTCAACCAATATGCTGTATTAATGTGAAGAGAACAAGTAGTAGCTGGGCGCTGGTGGCTCACGCCTGTAATCCTAGCTACTGAGGAAGCTGAGATCTGAGGATCGAGATTCCAAGCCAGCCCGGGCAGGCAAGACCTTCAGAGTCTTACCTCCAATAAACCACATGAAAACCGGAAGTGACACTGTAGTTCAAGTGGTAGAGCATTCTCCCTGAGCTGAAGAGATAAGGGACAGTGCCCAGGCCCAAAGTTCAAGCCCCACGACCAAACAAAAAATTAAATAAATAAAAATAAAAACAAGCTGCAGTTAGAAGAGCCCAAATATATGATTTATAACAAGCAACTTCTGTGAAAACTGACACATTCCATGAGAGGAGATATAGCCCTTCTGAGAACAGGACCTCCAATGATCTAATCACTTCCTACAAGGAGGCCCTTCAGATGACCATGTGGGGTCTTCTGGAGCATCAGCACCAACTTCCTTCTCCACTTGTTCCTCCTTACCATGTGATATTCTGCCGCATGACAGAGCAGAATCCTTGGACACAAGAAGTAGGGACTGAACTCTCTGTGACAAATAAGCAGAGACAGGTAAATTCAGATTGGAAATGGAGACATTAAAAGATTTCATGTTAATTTAAGATAACCAGAATTATATACCTACATTTGTCTTTACATAGTTTCAAAAAGGGTTAAAAAACATAACGGTATAGGAGTGGAATATATCTTGATCACTTTCTCCCTTTACTCTCTAGAGGGAAGATTTAAGAAATTCTGTGAGCAATTTGTTGTGCAAATACAGTGTAGAAGATTAACAGGATAGATAATGGATTTTAAAACTCATTACATTGAATATATAGTGACACTTTGAAGTAAAACTTTATAACATTTTTCTTTTATCCTTTTTAATTTTATTCTGTTGTAAAGGTACTGCACAGAAGGGTTACAGTTACATAAGTAGGGTAATGAGAACATTTCTTGTCAAAAATATTGTTACCCATTCCTTCATCTCCTACCGTCCCTCTACCCAACCCACCCACCCTGAAGTTATAAAGTTCATTTCCAACACAGTGTCCTGTGATTATCACTGTTGCATTGGTCACCCTTTGTCCTTATTTCACCATTTTGTTATTCTCCTTCTCTTCTCAAGTCACAGAAACGTGTATAAAAGATGCATGGTACCAGAATATAAACGGTGACTACAGGGGATAAGCCAAAGGGAAATTTAAAAAATATATAATAAAAAGAAGGAACTTGATACAATATATAAACCACAACAAAGTCAACAAAAAAGACATCTTGTTTCTATATCTTGGAGTTCATTTGGATTAGCATCATTTTATATGGTGATATATACATAGCTATTGATCTATTGTGATAGTCTGCAAGGACTATACTAGACATATATTAATTATTACAAATAAAGGAAACTATGGAGCCTATGTTTCTTTGGGTCTGCTTTTTTCATTTAATATGGTTTATTCTAAGTCTTTACATTTTCTTGCAAAGTAATTTCTAGGGCTCCTTTATCCACGTGAAAACTTTCTGAATAAAGATCCAGAAACACAACGAATCAAAGAATGGATGGATAAATGGTATCATATTAAGCTGCAGAGCTTCTGCACAGCAAACGCCATAGCCAGCAAGATAAATAGAAATCTCGCAGATTGGGAGAAGATATTCACTAGCTGTACAACAGACAAGGCGTCATATAAAAAATATAACTAAAGCTCAATAAACACCCCTCCAAAAAAATCCTCAAAGAAAAACCAGCCCATTAATCATTGGGCTAAAGAATTAAGAGTCTATTCTGGAGAGCAAATAAGAATGGCCAATAGACACCTGAAGAAATGTTCACCATCTTTGGTCATAAGAGAGATGCAATTCACAACCACATTGAGATTCCACCTCACCACAGTTACAAGGGCCATTATTAAGAAAACAAATAATAATAGATGTTGGCAGGGATGAGGCCAGATACTACTCTGATGCTGGGAACATAACGTGATTCAACCACTATAGAACACACTGTGGAGGTTCCTCAAAAGATTAAACATAGAACTCCCTACAATCCAGCAATCCCACTTCTGGGAATTTACTCAAGTGACCACAAACATGGCCACATTAATGTTACCAGCACAACTGTATTCTTAGCAGCACTATTCACCATAGCTAAGATATGGAACCAACACTGATGCCCCTCAATAGATGAATGGATCAAGAAAATGTGATATATATATATATATATATATATATATATATATATGTACATCTATATATGCATCTGTATACATCTATATCTTTCTATCTATCTATCTATCTATTTATCTATCTATCTATCTATCTATACTGGAATTCTATGCTTCTGTCAGAAAGAGAGCATTGCCCTTTAATCTTATAAATAAATGCATTTAGATCACTACTAGTAGCAGAAAATTATGTTCTTCCTGTCAATTCTTTATGTTAAATTTCCTTTGGAAACAGAAGTTCTAACACTTATAGCTGAGATTCCTGAACATATAAGTTAGTAACTATGGGCATAAGATGCCACTTTATAAAGCTAAACTGTTCAACTCCCTTGAGGATCCTTGCTGCTGCTGGTGAGTGCAGTGTTTCTCTCTAGACCTTCTGCATGAGTTTAAGGCGAGCTGGGAATTGTGCTCATTCCCTTCCTACAGACTGTCTTTGACATGAACCTGCTTATCTTTGGTCTCTGATGATGTTTTAGGGTGTCAGAGCCGTGTGCATCCTATCTTCTTTCACAGTGGGGTCTTCTTTCCCAGTGCTGCAGGAATCAAGGATTTTATTGGTTGTCCCCAAACACAGAGCATATTTGGTATCACTTTTCTTAGAAGAGCAGGCCTTACCTTCCCCTTGGCTCTTCCCACACTGTTGCACCCACCTGGAGATTTGCATATTACTCCCTAAGGAGGACCTTCCTTTCTAAGATCTGAACTTGCCTTGACCTGTCAGCACTCCTCATGTAACTCTTAAAAATGAAGTCCTTATCTCAACTACTGGGGCTGTTAATGCTCTGGATCCCTGATAAGGGCAAAGGGAGATGGGGAACTAGAGTGGCAACATATATCAAAATACAAATAATATCAACGTGTCTATGTTTGTGAATAACCTTGCCCTTCTATCTTATTCTAATTTCAGGATCCAGTGGAGATGTTATGATGACCCAGACTCCAGTCTCCTTGCCTGTCACGCTGGAAGATCCGGCTTCCATCTCTTGCAGGTCTAGTCAGAGCCTCCTGCATAGCAATGGAAATACCTATCTGAACTGGTACCTGCAGAAGCCAGGCTGGTCTCCACAACTACTGATATACACAGTTTCCAACTGATTTTCTGTGGTTCCAGACAGATTCACTGGCAGTGGGTCAAGCATAGATTTCACACTGAAATCAGCAAGGTAGAGCCTGAGGATGTTGGAGTTATCACTGCTTCAAGATACACATAAGCCTCCCACAGTGATATATCCCTGAACTAAAATTTCCTTTTAGGCTGTGTGAGCTACCCTTAAGGGTTACTGGTCTTGGGAACTGCAGAGCAGATCATCTGAGTCTGTCTAGGAGGAAGATACTTTGATCAAAGTAACTATGAGTAACTATGAGTACAGATGAGGTTTGAGTGACAATATGACTCCATTCAATCTACAATCATGGAACAGGAGAACAATCATAGTAGCACAGAGACGAGGAGACTTCAGATAAACCATGAAGCATTTATTGAAAAAAATTCTTTGTGTCTTAATTAATATTATAGTTAACAGGAAATA